ACATAAACATTTGGTGAAAATTTCAAGTATTTACAGTGATTAGTTTTTGAATTACAACCATATAAAAAAAATCGATTAGGTCGAAAACTTGATTTGCATAAAAATTCCCGTTTTTCTGTCACTTTTTTTTTGTTTTTCTCGATTTTTTTGAAAACTGTTGGAAAATTTGACCTGTATAATGCACCAAGGATATTCAATTTCCCATCGGAAACCACCCCCAAAGTTTGAAATTGAAGCATTATTTCGACTATAGTTAGGCTGTACACAGACACAAAAAAAAAACACATCATTGTAAAATCAATACATTCATCATTTCGTTCAGAATCTAAAAAATCAAGATGATCAAAGTCATTTAAATTATCCGTTTTTTATTATTTTATTCTTTTAATGTCAATAAAATTTTATTCATTGGGTCAAAAAACTTAAAAATGTAATACAAGACTCCCCATAAGTTGATATAATTGCAGTTGGAAAATATTAAAAATACATATGCACGTTTTTTTTGAATAACCATTTAAAGTTCAAATGTTGACAATATTTATTTAATCGAAAATTTACAAATTTTTTAATTGTTAAAAATTTATAAAATGTTTAACTTTTATCGCTAAAGTTTAAAAAAGGTTCCACGTAGGTAGTTAATTCTGTGACAAATCTAAACACTATACAAACACAGTTTTTTTTTTATAGTTATTTTAAGTTCAAATTTGGATAGCATTAACTATATTAAATAACTCAAAATAACAATTTTAGCTATATTATTGTAATAAAATTTATGAATATTATTCGTGGGTTCTTTAAATTGTATATACCTAGTATATACCTACTATGAATAACTGAGTGAGTCGTGTGGATAATAATTCAAATTTATTATATAGGTATTTACATTTTCTTTTGAATAAATAGCAGTATAATTAATCTAGTATAAAATTATAATGTATCCTAGACTGACAAAGTTTGAAATTGAAGCATTATTTCGACTAGTTATGCTGTACACAGACACAAAAAAAAAAACACACATCAATGTAAAATCAATACATTCAATATCACTACGTTCAGAATCTAAAAAAGTGAGCGTAACAAAATATCGCAAGGGCATCGTTTAAATTTTCAAAATGAAAAAAACCAATGTTCAAATGAGCAGAGTTTAAATGTTTATTTTCAATATAATATATTATATAAATATATTTATAGTACCTACAGTACTATAACAGCGTRCGCGTTATTCATCCGGATGTTTTGTTCGAAACAAAAGTCGAGTGAAAATAATTCGGTGATGTCGCCAAAGATCGGGGCAGCTGCAGCATTATGTGCATAATGAGGGCACGTGCTCATTTAAAATTTTAGATTTTTCGTCAGTCTTCATCACAATATTATATAGCCATATAGGTATCGTCACACAATGGTTGCTATAATAAATGCACAAATTCAGACGAGTGTATATATGTATAAATAACTATATAATTTAATTCATATAYGTGTATTGTATTATTATGTATTGTGTGATAAGACTTGTGTAAGAAGTTATGTGATACACGTTGGCGATATATTGTCAGAAAAATAGTTGTGATAAATTACATAATATATTGTGCATAATATAAAATAAATCAACGGTTTTACATCCTCTTTTATTACCTTCAAGACATTTAAGCGACTGTTACTTTTTGGGGACTCACCCCGTGGGGACTCACATTTCAAGGTGCAGTAGAAGATGGTTCTTGGTTAACTCGACAAGTCCGTTTATACACGAAGAATGGCTGGTAATTATCACTGGCCGGCTTGCTCCGGAGTCCTGACGCTACCACGCGCAAGATGCTACGCGACTACATCGGGATTGTAGTTAATAATTAATTTAAAATAAAGTTGTTAAGTTTATTGATAAGCGCAGGCGCAAAGGGTGCAGTCAGGGTAGGTTTTTGACTACTMTGAGAACTTTTTTTCAGGTTTACTCGATTATATAGGTATACAAAATAAAAGCATAATATTATTGTGTCCTATTATTGTTACCTATTTGTTAACCGCGAAGGCTTTAACGATTGATTTAAAAAAATATACTAATTACAAATAACAATATATTATTAATATTATCTTATATACTCGTAATATCCGAGTGGTTCTTATTATTGTTCTTAACATTTTTGAATGACTGAACTGGCCACGGAACACATAATATTTTACWAGATTTTCACGGAGCTCAGACGTAAAATAAAACAGTATTTACATAGTATATACATCCTTAAATTTAATAAAATATTAAGAAATAAAGAAAGTWTAAAAAAAAATTGAAAATGCCGTGTTTAGATGAAAAATGCGGTTTTAATTTCACTGACGCCACTGAGATTAGAAAACTTTTCCCCCAAAACACGTAAAGAGGAATATGACAATRGTTTTCGTCAACATAAGTGAACCCAAAATTCAAATAATTATTGCAATATTGTCTACTAACTTTTTTTGTTTTATTCTCACTATCGAGAGTATCATCAATGATATTTCATATATTTGAACTTACATATCAACTCCAGAATTAAGTTTTCGTTTAGAAATTCGTCCACTTCGTTATTGAAATAGTCATCGTTACATAATAGTTACATTATATACAATTATATACGTCTTATACTTTTATGTTTTATAAATCCATACAAATAAAAATGTTAAGACAATGAAACTTACTTAATGGAATTTTTTCCACTAATTTTAACATTTAAGTGAAGCACTTATACCAAGTGAATGGATACCGGTTAAGAACCACTGTAATATCGAAATATTTTTGATGTAGAGTGCGATTACTTTTATAGAATGTATAATTAAATGTGTCTTACAATAATTGTAAATATGTAAACAATCGTTTTTACTTAGTCATGCATTACATCAGTTATTATCGTATGTGCCTATAGTTAGGTAACCACTAACCTGGTAACGTGAGCAATTTATGGTAAGRAAGAAATATTTTTATTAAGGCTTGGAACGTAATAAATAGATTTCTCATAAGTAGCTATTAATTTTAAATCCAWAAATCAAAATTATATCAGAACATAATTTTTTTGTTATAGAAATTAGTAATTCGAACTTTTACGAAATTAAATATTTAAACACAGAATAACGGTTTTAATTATTTTGCGATAGTTCAAAACAATTCATGAGGACTAGTAATTTTTACGGAGATAAATTATTATGCATTACTATTCCTACGACTTTCAATATCGTTTTCAAAATATTTGAAATAATTTAAAATTTTAAAGCATTATTTGCCTACTTTTATACCGTATAATTAATAGTAAAATAAATTACTACAACAGCAATGTAAATATTAAATATTAACGTAATAATATTATATAAG